AGATGATGATATAGGAGGACCAAGAGATTTTCCCTGAAGCTGGACAGTCATGAGTGGCAGGGTATGTGGGGTAGTATGGGCAAATATCTAGGCCAGGAGGCACCTCCAGTGCTTTGGAACTTCACCACTGAACAAGTGCAAAATTCAGAAAAGTTAGTAAAACACTTAAATGAGCTGTGTTGTCATCCTGGTCATACCAGAGAGGGACAAATCATGGCAACGTGCTGGGACTTGGCCTATGCTTACAGAGGCCTGTTAAACACTATCCATACCTTCAAAGGGAAAAAGTGTCTCTGGATCTGATGGCAAAGCAACAGACAACACAGCTACTCCAACTAAAAATATAGCAGCTACACAAACCCCAGTGACAAGTACAGCAGCTACTCAGACTCTGTCTGCAACAGACAATGCAGCTACTCCAACTTCAAGTACAGCAGCTACACCAACTCCAGTGACAAGTAGAACAGCTACTCAAACCTCAACAGCAGCAGTCAATGCAGTTGCTGGTGCTATTCAACCCCCAAGGACAGTGGCTGCACCAACCCCAACAACAAATACTTCAGCTACTCCAACCCTAGTGGCACACACTACAGAAACTCCAACCACAGTGACAATCGCTGCACCTAAACCAGAGGACCAATTCATGCCAATATCGGTTGCCCCTGTACACAAGGGGAAAGCAAACAAGAGGCACAAAGAGCAACCGGTACAGTGAAGAAAGATGAAGAACCAATCCACTTACTACACGGGACAGCATCTGGACAAGAGTTATTATTATGTGGATCAGAGGAAAAGGAAGAAGAAAAGGTGACTTCTCGACCCCGGACCTCAACCAAGGTACGGAATATGCAAAAAGATTTCAGCCATCATCCAGGGGTCACATCATCACCTGATTGCTCCAATGCTGGGACAATGGTGCCAATGGTCATGAACTAGAAGGTAGGGAAGCCAAGCAGCTGGGATCACTTGCCAGGGAAAGAAGAACTGACAAAGCAGTTGCAAAAGAGAAATTGTCCCTCAGTCTTTGGAGGCAGCTCTTGGCAGCTGCGAAGGAAAGGTTTCCCTACAAGTACAATGTTATGAGTCGTTTGGCCAACTGGACCGTGATAGAGAAAGGCATCCAGTTTATAAGGAAATCAGCCATTCTAGAGATGATCTCTTGTAGGCCGAATGCCGAGAATGCATCTGTAGATTCAGATGAAGTCAAAGGTACATGACCCATGTGGCTGAAATTTACATGGAGTGCACCATAATCATATGCCCACTCACTGGCATCAATGACCTGGCATGACATAGCACCACCAACAGTGGATGAAGTGATTTGTCAACTCCAAGAGTTCAAAGACAATCTCACCATTTCCACCAATTCAGCTGTGGAAAAACTGTCGCAGGAGTTCAAACAATTGAGAGACGATCTATCCGATCTGTCCAGCTCACCACATTTACCAACCCATGTCTCAGATATTAACTAAAGACGCCCTACTGCTCAAGAGAGAAGATACAGGAGGTAAACGCTACAGGCTACCCTATGGTTTTACCTGAGGGATCATGGAGAAGACATGAGGAAGTGGGATGGAAAACCTACCTCAGCTCTGGAGGAATGGGTGCGTGAATTGAAGAGGAGAACAAATGTCAAAGATGATCATCCCATGAAAGCTATGGCTTCAGTCTCTCATGAGCAGGTTCCCAGATGGAGTGGAAGAGCTGATTTTGCTCCATCTCCTGTGATAAAGACGAATAATCCCTGTCTACAAGATGTAAGTGACCAATATTGTGATCACTATTAGAAGCGCCCTGACTCCAGCCAGGTGGAGGTAGGGGACAGTCGGGCTTACTGGACTGTCCCCTGACACATCAGTCCCACAGGAGTGTAAGGCTCTAGTAGACACCAGTTGTGGGAAAAGCCAGAGGCAGCAGAGAACTGTCCTCAGGTCACCATCAACTGACTCTGACATCCCTCTCTGATCATCACCCCAGCAAAGAATGAACTTTGATGAAACCAGACAAGCTCAGCAGTGACCAGACAAGTTCAGCAGCATTGTCAGTAGGCACCAACCCAACACTACACACTGTCTCTCCTGCCCTGAAAGACTGTTACAAGAGATGGAGCCTGACATCATGGAATGAATTCAGCAACTTCATAGGGATTTATCTGTGGACTAGGGAATGATACCTATCTCTTTCTCTGTGTGTGTGTGGGGGGGCATATTTATGTATATCTGGGACAAAAAGTGATGTTATATTGAAAAAATAATGGGATCTGAGCATGATGTGAATGGTATGGAATAAGGGGTGGATACTGCCCTGGGCTCAGCTGTAACAGTTATTTTTTTTCCTTCCAAGTAGGTGGTGCAGTGCTGTATTTTTGACTTTTGTCTGAGAACAAAGCTGTTAACTCACCACTGCTTTTGTTGTTGCTAAGTAATACTTACGCTGATGAAGGACTTTTCATTCTCTCATGCTCTGCCAGTGAGAAAAGGCACTTGAAGCCAGGAGGAAGCAGAGACAGGACACCTGACCAAAACTAGCCAAAGAGGAATTGCATTCCACAGCACATCATGCCCAGTATGTAAACAGGGGGGAGTTACCAGGAAGGCCTAGATCACTGCTTGGGTCAGGCTAGGTATTTGTTGGCGGGTGGTGAGCTATTGTATTGTGCATTACTGCTGTTTATTTTTTCTTTTCCTTTTCACATTTTATTTTTATATTTGTATCCTCTCCCCTTGTTATTTCCCTTATCATCATTATTATTGGTGGTAGCAGTAGTGGTTTTGTGTAATACCTTAGTTACCGGACTGTTCTTATCTCAGCCCATGAGATTTTCATTTCCCACACCTCAGCTGGCAATACCATACTGTCACTGCTGGGACAAGTGAGGCTGCAGAATTCCTGAAGTCTGAGGAAGGCAGCTTCTTTCCACAAGTACTCAGTGAGCCAACTAGGAAAGGTGCCCTCCTAGGCTTGCTCTTTGTGAATCAAGAGGGTGCATGCGAGGTGTGATGGTGGGAGGCTGTCTTGGCCACCCTAATCCCAAAGAGTTGAGCTCAAGCTTTTGGGTGTCATGAGGGAAAAGTTCGGCAGATTTGGTACCCTGGGTATCAAGAAAGCAAAACTGAAGCTACAAAGGGACCTCCTTGACAGGGTCTCCTGGTCATGAGCTTTTGAGAACTTAGGGGACCATGAGAGCTGCTCGCTTTTAAAGAACCATCTTTTGAAAGCACAGGAGCAGCAATCCCATTGTGTCAATGGAAGTCAAGCAGGTGCAGCAGAAGAGCAGCTTGGAAATCCTCCTGGAACTGGGGTGGGAACAGAAATTGTATGCTCTCTAGAAGCAAGGTCAAACTTCTCAGGAAGACTGCCGAGCTGTGGCTCACACATGGAGGGAGACATCACAAAAGGCCAAAGCTCAGCTGGAGATGAAACTGGTCAGTGTTCTGTCAGACAACAACAAAAGGCTTTTTGAAGTATGCTAATAACAAGCAGAGACCTAAGGAAAGTATTGGGACCTTGACTTTATGAAGATGGACACTGAAAAGTGGGGATGAAGAAAAGACAGAGGCATTTAATGTTTTTGCATTGCCTCAGTCTTCAATGTTCATGGTAGACCTGGGGCTCCCCAGGTCCTGTGAGTGGGAAGACCATGGCTGCAGGGGCAGTGACTTTCCATTGGTGGACACAGCAGTTCTAAAGCAGGAGACCTTGGGGCCAAGGCTGGATATGGACACCCTGGGGAGAGGCCCACAGGGCTCCACCCCATCTGGGCCCCTGGGTTCCAGAACCGAAGTACAATGGTGCTCTCTTCTTACCCAGTGCTGCCCCAGCAACAGCTCCAGTGCCTGCACGAACAGTGCTGCGAGTGGCAGCACCAGAGGCACTGGCGGTACTTCCTTTTTGCGGAGGAGTACTCCTGTTGTATTTTTCAAGGAGTTTTCTACACGTATGTTTTCCCCTAGCCCTTTCAGGATGGGGCAGTGGCTCTGTTGCTGTGGGTCCAGGTGAGTTGCCCCACAGCTTGGGGATGCACAGGCACAGCAAGGACCAGCAGCAGCCACCTTGCTCAAGCCAAACGCCATCTGCTCTGCAGGGATGACCCTTGCCCCGACCAGCACCGTGAGCCCGATCTGGCATTGCCTGAGACGCTGCTCAGGGAGCGTGTGAGGGTGACCCAGGGCCGTGGCCAGAAGAAGAAGAGGGACCTCCTCCTCTTCTTCAGAGACACCCTGGTCATCGCCAACACCAAGTAAGACAACCAGAGCCCAGCTGCCTTTCCTCCCAAGCCCTGCCCCTAGCACCAGGGCACCAGATCAGGGACAGCCAAGGAGCAGCCCCAGGCCCCTGGCACTTTGGTGCTGGATGCACTTGTGGCCATGCCCATGGCAGGCAGGAACAAGAGGGGATCCAGTGGGCTCGGCCACCTCCAGCTGACTCCCTGCCGCTCTTCTCTGCAGACCTGGCAGCACCCCGCACCCGCTGCTGTGCCTGGCCCTGGGCCTGCTGCAGGTGCTGAGCAGTGGGAAGGGCTGAGCTGGTGATGCTGCTGAAGAGGAGGAGGAATGGAATGCCTCCAGCTCCCTTGTCTTCCTCTGGCCCTGTGGCTCCTGTGTTGTCAGTTTCTGGTGAGTCTCGGTGCAACTTCCCACCAGAGGGGTGGGCAGCTCCTCTGCCCTGCCTCATGGGGCATCATCTGCTGGGGCACAGCAGGCACTGAGGCTGTTTCTTCTCTTTTTTTGGCAGCTCCCGAGTAGTGAAGGAACTCTGGGTCAGCACCCTCCTTGGGTAAGCCCTGCCAGGCACTGCAGCCTGGGCTGCCTGTGCTCCCATCATGGGGAGATGCTCCATGAGTGGCATCCAAACAATGAGAAAACACCTCTTCTGAGCTGGGCACAGGTGCTCCACAGCTGCAGGCAGAGGTGCCCCCACTGCTGAGCAGGCACATCTGGTGAAGATACTTCATCCAGCTGTGTCCAGCCCCATCCTCGCCACTCCCACTGCACCCCGCTCCACTGCTGGGTGGTACCGGCTGTTCTGGGCACTATGGAAGCACTCCCCAGGCTGGCAGCAGAGGGAAGAGCTAGCTTGGGTCTCACACAGCTCTTTCTCTGCCCCTTCCCCATGCACAGACCACAGGAAGGAGTTCAGGGAGCCAGGGTGACCCAGCTGCCGTCCATCAGGATGGTGATGAAGGAGCTGAGTGGCCACCATGCTGTGAGTGTCCCTCCTGCCTCTGCTCTGTCCCCAGGGGCTCCTCCAGCCCAGCATCAGCTGCATTGCTCCTCACCTTCTGCTCTTTTCCTCTTGCCCAGGGGACGACACTGGATGACGGCAGCCTGGAGAAGATGCTCCAGCTCCAGGCCCAGGTCAGGGTCCGTTGCAGTGCAGTCTCACCCACCCCCACTTCTCACACACAGCCAGGGGCTGATGCAGCTCTCCAGGGGCCCTTTCTGCTGTGGGGCTCCTTGGTGAGTGCAGCCCATTTCTTGCAGGCTGGTGCCAAGCAGCTGCCAGGTCCTGTGCCATCCGGCAGTGAAGGCAGATGTGGCCACATGGATGGTGAGTGTGGAGAAGACAGGGGCAGGATGGCCCTTCTCTCCTGCTCTTACAGGCTGGCACATGTGTGGCAATGGGGATGCTGCTGCCCTTCCCGCAGGGCACGTCCACCCTCATCACTCTGCAGCAGGAGAGAGCTGAACCCCACGTCCCCTCAATCCAATATGTTGCTGCCTCTTCTGTGCCCTCGGTGGCAGGGGGGGACAGCACTGAGGGAGGGTTCTCCTGGTGCTTTTCCTCCACGGCTCTTTAATCCATTTCTCTTTGCAGGCGGGACCCACAGGAGCAGGAGGAGGCTGCCCTGGCCATTAGCACGGCCAGGGACCTTGGCTGCAGTAGGGGCACCAGGGCCATTGGGCTCTGCTGGTGTAGGAGCTCTCTTTGGCCAGCCCCTGGCAGATCTGTGCAGCCAGGATGGCATGCTGCCACAGCCCATCCAGGTAAGCCAGCCTGGATGTGGGGTCCCCATCCGTCCCATCCCATCCCATCCCATCCCATCCCATCCCATCCCATCCCATCCCATCCCACTGACTCCTCCAGAGAGAGGCTGTCCCTTTCACCTATCTCAGGGCCTGTCTCCAGCCCAGCAACTCTCCTCCTCTGTGCCCTCAGGACCTGCTGGCTCTGCTTAATGAGCATGGCCCATCCACGGAGGGGATCTTCCAGCTGGCAGCCAGCCAGCACGCACCCCACAAGGTCAGGGAGGCCCTGGACAGTGGGGTGCCAGTGCAGCTGGAAACCCAGCCCGTGCTGCTGCTGGCTGTCCTCTTGAAGGTGAACCCTGCTGACCCAGAACCCTGCAGCTCCTGGCTCTCTTGGTGCTGATGGGCACCTGCGGGAGCACAAGCAGAAACCCAGCTGCCTGCTCATGAGCCAGAGGGCTGGGGATATTGCAAGTGCTCCTGGGTGCAGTGGCCGAAGCCTCACATGGAGCCCTTGGCCCTGCAGGACCTCCTCCACAATATCCCCTCAAAGCTCCTCGACATCCAGCCGTTCGAGGAGTGGATGCGTGCCATGAACAAGACCAGCAGGCAGGAGAAGCTGGCAGCACTGAAAGAGTAAGTGTGGCAGCAGCCAGCAGGGACTGGCACAGGCTGGGACTCATCAGCAAAGCAATGGCCTGCCTGAAATAGCCATGGCTCGTACAAGCCACCTCCTGTTGCTGTGGGGTTTATGTTTAGGGGGAAAGGGGCACCCAAAAGCTTTTCTTTCTGGGGATCACTTCCCACAGGTGTTGGGGATTGCTGCAACAAAGACCTCTTTCAGAAGGGCAAGGAGGGAGGTGGCCGTATCTCAGCATAGGCAGTCTCTCTGCTGTAGAGCAGGCAGTGGCCTTGGATGAGATCAGCCTGGGAGACCTGTGCTGTCAACACTGACTTCGTTAACGCTGTGCTCCTGTTCCCTCAGGGTGGCCAGCAAACTACCAGAGGCCAACCTGCACCTGCTGCAGCACTTGCTGTTGCTGCTTAACAGGATCAGCAGGAATGTGGCCACAACGAAGATGACTGCTGGGAACCTGGCCATCTGCCTGGCACCAAACCTCCTGAGCCCACCCCAGGAGCTGCCCCTGGATGTTCTTGCTCTGGAGACAGGGAAGGTACGCTGTGTTTACCACCCGGCTACAGAGTCCCCAGCCCAGCCCAGCTTTGCTGCTCAGACGGTCCTGGCTTTCTTCTCCTGTCAGCAAGGCCATGGGTCAGCAGCTGGGAAGAACAGCCCCACGGCTACACCTTCCTGCACAGAAGCACAGGTCAGGCTGGGAAAGATTGTTTGAGCCCTCATCAGCCCCCTCAGTGAAACCAGTGGTTTGCTGTGTGCAGGTAACGAAGCTTGTTGAGTTCTTCATTGACCACCATGAGGAACTCCTTGGAGAGCAGGTGGCCAGGCTGGCCAGAGAGGGGGATGAGGAGACACCAGCAGCACAAGCAGAGCTGGAAACAACAGGGGTAAGTGAAGTGCACAAGAAGTGTGGCAACAAAAACCTTCCCTCTCAGAAGGTGGGGCTACTGCTGCTGCTACAGAACAAGCATAGTCATCCAACTCCAAAGTGCAGAGCAAGGCTGATGCAGGTTGGCCATCCCACTTTGTGAGGTGATCCCACCACAGCTGGCTCAGCTGAGCTGACCAAACCCATCCAAAGGATGTGCTGTTTAGAGCCAGGGTAGCAATTGTGCATGGAGGTCCTTGCCCCCTGCTAATCTACACATTGCCATTGCAGGTGCCTCCTGTTTCTCCCAAGAGCAAACAGAGAGGAGCTTTTCCAGGGAGAAAAGGTAAAATTGCCTTACTTTGCTTGGCTCAGGGTAATCATGGCTTTACCTGTCTCACAATACTATTGAATGGAAAGGTTCCCAGGCTCTTCACACAACACCAGGAAGCGAAGAGCAACCTGGGAAGAGGGCCGTGATGGACCAACCATGCCGGAAAAAGAGCAGAACTGATCTCTCAGGGCGGGCAACTGAAGAAATTCAAGCAGGGGAAGAACAAGGCACCCAGGTATGTAGCAGAGCCTGTGTTCCTTCTTTTTGCCAAGCTCTGAGTACAGGAAACACTCCTGAGGTGTACAGTATGGTCCTTCCCTCAGGGGAGCATGTATGTCAGGAGAAACATGCTCACCCAGCATTGCCTGCCAACCTCTGATTTTAGTATGGCAAAGCAAGGATGCTGCTGCTAGGTTTTTGGAAAGGACCATATCCCGGATTCCCAGGCTCCCTGCTGAGCCCTGCTGCCTGGCAGGGTGGCACTGCACATCTGTTTCAGCTTCCCGTGCTCTGAGGGTATCACATGTATTGAGAAGGGACAAAAGCAACACTATAGTTGCCAGTAGGAAACCTGTAAGGAGCCTCTCTCTTGCGCTAGCAATGACCTCTTTTACAGCATACTTCCAAAAAACCTAGGAGCCAAGTCCCACCTGCTCCTGCCCTCATGGGTTCATCAGTGCTTTCTGACTCTGCCCTTGTAGGTGCCCTTTTACTGCTTTGAATTCCCCTCATGCACTCTGCTTCCTGGCCTTGGAGTTCCACCCTGCGGCCCCAGCACCACCTCGGCAGTGGCGAGGACAGAACCACCATGTCCTTCTTCTCTGGATAGAAGGTTCTACCACCTTGCCCCGGAGCCAGAGCAGCTCCCTCAAACCCATTCCAGCCCTTACAGGGGGCCTTGCTGGCTCACTCCTCAGCTCCACCAGCAAATCCCCACCTGCTGGTGCATCTCCCCAAGTGGGGAGCTGGCCTCTGGACTTCAGCTTCCCATGTTCGCTGCCACATTTGTTACTATCATTGTTACTACACTGGTTACTATACTTGTTAATACACATGTTACTGTGTTTATAACTATGTTTATTCATCTATTACTATGTCTTTTAGAACCAAATTTTAGGATATACTTTAGGAAAAATTTAGGTTATAGTTTAGGAAACAGATTATAGGATATAGGATAGATTTAGGATATAGTTTAGGAAGCACCTTATAGGGTTGTTTTTATTTCATACTGTTTGAGTACACACTTCATATGATCATAGAATAGTTAGGGTTAGAATAGGATAGTTAGGGTTGGAAAGGACTTCCAGTAACTTCATGGTATGTCACAAGACTACTCTTTGACTGGCTCTTTAGCTTTGGTAGTAAAAAAGCAGAAAGAATTACAAAAGTCGTATCTCTCTGCCTTGCCATCTGCATCCTGCAGAATGGAAAATAAGAAAGAAAGTATTCTGAAAGAGTCTTTGGATTAGGAAAGTCTCCTGGGTTCAGCAGTAGCAGTCATGTTTTTTTTCCTTTGTGGTAGCTGGTGCAGTGCTGTGTTTTGACTTCCAGCCTGAGAATAGTGTTGGTGAAGTCGATGTTTTCAGTTGTTGCTAAGTGATGTTTACCCTGACCAAGGACTTTGTGAGGCTCATTTTCTGCCAGGGAGGAGGGGAAGCCGGGAGGAAGCAGAGACGGGGCGCCTGACCCGGGCTAGCCAGGGAGGTATTCCATACCACAGCACGTCATGCCCGGGGTGGGGGTGACTGGGAGTTACCCGGAAGGACAAGGGTTTCCGGGTGGAACTCATTTTCTTGGCCGGTGGTATCGTATACTCTTCCCTTGTTATTTTCCCTTATCATTGTTGTAGTTGATAGTAGCGGTGGTGATTTGTGTACATTGGTTGCTGGACTGTTCTTGTCTCAACCCATGGGAGTTGCACTTTTTCGATCCTCCTCCCCGTTCCTCCGGGAGCGGGGAAGGGGAGAACCCCGGTGCGGAGAGGGGGACACGGACCTCAATTGTTGTCAGCTCGGCACCACTCACTGGGAGTGAGTGAACAAGTTACCTGACTGGGTTTAAACCACGACAGTTCTTTTTGGCGCCCAACGTGGGGCACGAGGGGTTGAGGTAAGAACAGATCTGACTGGATTGATAGTCACTCATCACAATGCTGATTTATTGGCTCTCAAGGTTGTTCCTCTTGATTTCACAGTTTCAGTATATTGTATCTTACGTCCATCTGGTATTTGCTGTATTAGTGTTTTTCAAGTGTGGGGCTTAGGCTAAGGTTTTTGTCCCATTGTACTTTATGGTAATGACTTGTAATACAATAGAATCATTGATCATGAAACTGATCTGGCTTATGTTCCCAGTGTGGTCACCACCTTTATACTTTGGGAGGTATATGATGGAGGTGCTTAGCAATTACACATCTTTTTTCTCCTTCTCAGGTGCTCAACCTGTGAAGGAGACATCCTTTTACCCTCCCAGTAGTCCCCCCAGACCATTTACATTTGAGAGTTTTGAATTTTTTGAATGGCATTTTAATGCTGTTGAGACTTGTTTGCTGATGGTGATGGGAATCACCATGCTAACACGCATACAGAGTGTGTTTTGCCCACTACTGATTTCAAGAGTTAAGCAGAGTCAGGTTTGGGTCTTGTCTGGGGTCAAATGACAATGTAGGAGGACCGAGAGATTTTCCCTGAGGCTGGACAGCCATGAGTGGCAGGGTGTGTGGGATAGTATGGGCAAGTATCTAGGTCAGTGGGCCACTCCAGTATTTTGGAATTTCACTACCGAACAACTGCAAAATCCAGAAGAATTAGTAAAACACTTAAATGAGGTGTGTGGTCATTCTGGCCATACCAGAGATGGACAAATCATGGCAACGTGCTGGGGCTTGGCCTATGCTTACAGGGCCTTGTTCAACACTATCCAGCACCTTCAAAAGGAAAATAATGTCGGCGGATCTGAGGGCAAAACAACAGTCGCTACTCAAACTTTGGCTGCAATGAACTGCGCAGCTACCCCAGCGGCAAGTACAGCAGCTGCTCAAACCTCAACTGCAACAGACAGCGCGGTTACCCCAGCTCCAAGCACAGAAGCCGCACCAACCCCAGCGACAAGTACAGTCGCTACCCAAACTTTGGCCTCAATGAACAGCGCAGCTACCCCAGTGGCAAGTACAGCAGCTGCTCAAACTTCAACTGCAACAGACAGCGCAGTTACCCCATCTCCAAGCACAGGAGCTACACCACCCCCAGCAACAAGTACAGTCGCTACTCAAACCACAGTGATAATCACTGCAGCCAAACCAGAGGACCACTTCGTACCAATATCGGTTGCCCCTGTACGCAAGAGAACAAGCAAAAAGGAGGCAAGAAGGGTGAAGCGAGATGAAGAAACAATGAATTCACCACCCGGTCCAGAATCTGATCAGGAGTCATCATCACATGACGAAGAAGAAGAAGAAGAGGTAACTTCTCGACCTCGGACCTCCACCGAGTAGCGGAATATGCGAAAAGATTTTACCCGTCCACCAGGGGAGCACATCATCACCTGGTTACTCCGATGCTGGGACAATGGGGCCGATGGTCATGAACTAGAAGGTACAGAAGCCAAGCAGCTGGGATCACTTGCTAGAGAAGGGGGAATTGACAAAGCAATTGCAAGAGAGAAAAAGTCCCTCAGCCTTTGGAGGAGGCTCTTGGCAGCTGTGAAAGAAAGGTTTCCGTACAAGGACGATGTTACGAGTCGTTCGGCCAAGTGGACTACTATAGACAAAGGCATCCAGTCTCTGAGGGAATCGGCCATCGTAGAGATGCTCTATCACATCAAGCCGAATAACGGGGATACACCTATAGATCCATATGAAGTTGAATGTACACGACCCATGTGGCGAAAACGTGCACGGAATGCACCGTCATCATATGCCCATTCATTGGCAACAGTGACCTGGAATGACATAGTACCACTAACAGTGGATGAAATGGTTCATAAACTCCGAGAGTTCGAAGACAACCTCACCCCTTCCATCATCTCAGCTGTGAAAAAACTGTCCCAGGACCTCGAACAATTGAGGGACGATCTATCTGATTTATCCAGCTCCTCACGTGTACCAACACACGTCTCAGCTATTAACAAAAGGCGTCCTATTGTTCAAGAGAGGAGATACAGGAGGTATACGCCACAGGGTACCCTATGGTTTTACCTGCTGGATCATGGAGAAGACATGACAAAGTGGGATGGAAAACCTACTTCAGCTTTGGAGGAACGGGTGAGTGAACTGAAGAGGGCAGCAAGGGCCAAGACTGATCGTCCCATGAGAGCTACGGCTTCAGTCTCTGGTGAG